AGCTACCTAATTGGAATAAAGCCCCACTAGATGGGAGGAAATTCAAGTGTGGTTACTGTAAACATAGCCAAATACACATGGCTGGAGAGGCCATAGATCTTAGTGAAAACCCCAAGACTGTCACATTTCTAGACTAGTGTAATTTCTTACTATGTGCAAAATATGTATCCTTATATTTACAGACAAGTATCTCAGTCACCACTCATCAAACAAGCTTCTTTTGCACCAGAGACTATTACCAAATGCATAAACTGCTCTCTCTCTCTCTCTCTCTCTCTCTCTCTCTCTCTCTCCCTCTCTCTCTCTCTCTCTCTCTCTGTTATTACAAAACTCAGAACTTACTAGTCTGGGGAAGGCCTGGTGATGGTGGTAAGACAGAGCGAAGTGAAGAAATATGTCCCTTTCAGCTGAGGGGCTTCTGCACTGTCTCTAGGCTCCGACTGTCCTGCCACTACTTATAAGTCAGGAGTCTCTGCTGAGAGTTCCCTGCATCTCCCCAAATGAAAACGTCTCAGAACAGTGACTGTCGTACTAATAACATCAGCTCTACAGTGAACCTGGTGCTTCCAGTGCGCTGCCCCCCCGGTAGTCTGGTTCCCTGCACATGCACTCCAGAGGGTTGGGGCTCATTGTGTGGTCACAGATGTGATGAGTAAGTCTAGCTGTGGGAGTGTTACCTGCCTTTGATGTTTCTGGAAGTAATCTATTGATTACATTAAGATTTTGCTCTTAAATTTAAGAATTCTATTTTTAATGTTTATCTGTTAATCAGTAACCATTACAACATGCTCTCTGAAGTTATTAAGGCTTACAGTTAACACTGATTTCCATCTCAGCTGGGAACTTGACTTCAGTTTACTAAGAATACTGGCTTCCTACCTAGTTTAACTGAAACTTGCTGCTGACATGTTGAGTTTGTTCTTTGAAAACTGTTCCTTACTGTTCATTCTTCCTGTTAGAAGAATAGGCCTAACTAGTGAATGTATTAATTAAGTTCATCTATCTCAGAGCTGACTTTGGAAGTTTAGTTTTTGTTAACTTCATAAACTGCGAATATGAGCAGTTTACTTTTACTTTTTCTTTAAACATATGCCTTTTGAATTCTGTATAAACTTGTTTTGAAATATAATCTGAATGTATGAATATAATGACAAAAATACCTTTTCTGCATGGTAAAGATTACTTTGGTTACAAAAAGAGGTATATACTTTTTTAAATTATTTATTTAATAACCACATACTTAGAAGAAGCATATCATTACAACACAATTGACATATTCAATAACGTTTTCCTGAGGTAGGATGCATCTCTTTCAAAAGTGGCTGTAAATTTTTAAGTTCACAGTTGAATTAATAGTTATATAATATTGAACTCAGTATATAAGCCCTGTGAGACATAAAATTGAATGAGCTTTTAGCCTTTAAAAAAGATTTCCATTTCATTTTAAAATATACTATTTCTTACAAAAAGACTCAGTTTTTGCTACTA